TAATATAAGTAAGTTATAAAAATTAATATTTAAAATTTTATTAAAATTTTTTAAAAACTTATTAAAATTTTAAATATATAGGCAAATTTGCCTGCATTACAATTTAAGGAATAGGTCTATAGTACAGTAGTAATGCTTCATAAGTTATCAGAAAAAGGTCTAGGGTTCAATCCCACCTGGTTATAAAAATTTATCACCTTCATAATTGATTGACTGACTTTCAATTCATGTTATATTCAATCAGCTAACAAATCTATCTTCAAATTTAGTTAGGCTGCATAAAGATAGAACCTCTGGTCTTCTTGACAATCATGGGCTGAAAACAGATCGAAACAATAAAGGTTGCATAAGAAAAGGCTTTTGGTTTAATTTCGGTAATAAGTTCACAAACTTTAATTCAAACTAATGATGACAGATTCCATCATATAATATAAAGAGGTTAATTCTAAGCTGATCTATTCCAATCTGAAGCTTGTAGATCTATCCCAATGGTGATGTTCCACAGAACTTAATCATATGGCTGATAGGCAAGGTATTAGCTATAGGTAATGAGAAGATTAAACAAAAATCATTAAGTCAAATGAATTTAGTGAGGATCTACAAAATTAAATTGAAATCCAAGCAAAAATGCCAATTTCACAGGTGGTGAAAATGGTAGTGCTGTGTTATGTTAGTGGTATATCTCGAGGATCAGTGATAATAGCAAATGGAATACTGGAATCAATCTCTATAATAATATTTCATAATGTGCCTTACTCATGATAAATACAGTCGAGATTAAACCTAGTAGGTTAGGTGGTTTAAACTAGTGGTAGAATTTCTATCCCCTATATAAGTCCTATCTGACATGTGAATCATTTACTTGATGTTTAAAATTCATATAGCTGGGTATATGTAATTGGTCTAGGAGAAACTGGGATTACTGGAAATGATGATCATCAGGTAGCATTAATTTGTATTTAAAATAGCAATAGCCTACTTTATAAAGGTGTTTGATGTAATGACTACAAAACAAATATTTAATAAACTGTTTTGCATCTAATGCCCTTAGCCAATTAAAAAAAATAATAATAATAAATAAAATAAAATAAAATAAAATAATAAAATTTAAATAATTTTTTTGATTATAAGTATGTAGTTGAATTAAATATTAATTTAAAAATTTTTTTATTTATTAATACAAACTTTATTTTTATTTTTTAGAATCATGGAGTTATGATAAAGTAATAATTTAAATATAAATTGATTGTAATATCTTAAGATTATGATTTTAATATTTGATTTTAAAAAGAAATAATATTTTATTTCTATAATTATATATATAAGTAATTAATATTATTCATACGAAAAAAAATAATAATTAATCTTATACAATAATAGCTTACTGAATTTACTTACTTGTAATAAGGTAATAGTTAAATTATGTGAATTATTTTAATAAACATATTCTTAGCAATTTGATTAAAGTAAAAAAGAATCTAGATTTTTCTAGAGAGATTGACAAACTATTATACTTATTTATACTACTGTATATTGTAATTTTTCACGTATAAAGTTTCTTAGAGTTTTTATTTGAGACTTTATTATCATTATTAAATAGCATATCGGACTTTGCTGCTAATTAGTTCAACTAGCACAGTAAGTGATCATTAAAAGCCATCACCTTGTTGCCAGATATGGAAACAATAACCTATGTGCTTTGTTTGCAAAAAAGGTTTGTAAAACAAGCTAATACCATATTTGCTATTGACGTCATGATCAGTTACCTTCATTACATAAAAGACACGTAGAGATGCTGAATTGACTCTTCCTTCCGTGATTTTATAAATTGATTTCATATCATATCATATCAAAAGAAATATATTCGTTATTCATCATGCGAGGTTTAACGTACTTAAGGCGTGCGTTCGTAATTTCGCCTCTCTATACATTGGTTTTTGTATTATCATGGTTTGGTCTGGGTGTATCGCCGATACCATTTTTACCACTTTTTAACCTTCCACTGATATTTCTTCTGGTCCGTACTTCGCCTCTTGACATTAACTTATGGCTGTTCGTCACAATTGCACTGGGTGCAACCTTCGCATATAAAGAACCAACAAACTCACCCATGGGCAGTAGCAACTTTGATAATACTATTGTGTTATTATTGATTGGTAGTTTGATTTCATTTTTCACCATGCTTCCCATGGTTACATCAAAATTTGTCATTAAATACGCCAACCGAAAAGTTGGTTTTTTTAATAAGAATTATACTTTTAAGTTGTTTATATTCCCTGTTATTTGGACCTTAACCTGGTCGTCATTTCGTCGCTGGTTCCCAATTGTTTCGGTGGGCTCTTGGGGTGACTGGGCGTACACCATTAACAATGCCGGTTATTCAGGAGATTCAATAATGCAGATCACGAGTATTGGCGGCTTAAGTGCAGTCAACTTCATTTTAGCTCTTATGTCCCAAGTCGCGGTCGATTTTTTGATCTATAGGCACGGAATGAATAATGTGCATAAGAGGATAGGAAATTTAATAGACGAAGAGGCGCCATTAATTCCCAATAATGTTAATAGGGATCGAAATCATATAATAGAGAAACAATTCTTCCAAAATTATTATTTACGATTGTTTTTAGTATTTGGTGGATTAGCACTGCTCATCTGGGGTAATACGCGTCTGTACGATATTGAGGATAACTCCGATCCAATAAAAACCATCAAAGTGGGATGCGTCCTTCCAACAAAAGGTGCTGATATGAAATCAATGATTCACCAGTCTGCCATCTTAGCAACACAATCTTCAAAGATTGTTCTTTGGGGAGAGTCCGCCTTAGATCTTCGGCGCGAGGAATTAGAAATGTTATTGGAATTGGCAAGTGAAGAAACCAAAAAACATAAATACTTCCTAGGATTGACTTATTTTATGCCCTCGGAAAGAAGTGACAAAAAAAAGAATATGTTTACTTTAATTGGCCCTGATGGAGAGAAGATATTTGATTATCAAAAAACACATCCGGTTCCGTTAGCAGAGTCACGTACAGTTGAAAGCGGACCAGGAGGTCAGCTACCTATTGCGAATATCGCGATGCCCAAACAAAAAAATCAGACGCAACTTTCGTTAAACGTATCGGCGGCAATATGCTTAGACATGGATTTCCCCGAACTCATTAATACTGCTTCACCGGTAAACTTATTTTTACAACCTGCCCAAACATGGCGATCACATATTGGTCTCCAACATCTGCGAATGGCCTCTGTTCGTGCCATCGAAAATGGTTTTTGGGTTCTTCGATGCGATGGCGGTGGCGCAAGTGGTTTGATAGATCCTTTGGGTAGGATCCGTAACGTCCAAGTATCTTCAAGAGCCGATCGTTATCAACTATTAAATTGGGATCTACCATTGTCCGATGAAAAAATTCACACAGTATACGCTTCGTGGGGAGAATATACGGTTTGGGGGGGTTTGTTTGTGTTATTTTTATCAAAACTATGCAAGCCATTGATTTGGAAAAATGGGCCGATATTCATGGAAGAGGAATGGCAGAAGGGAGTTGAAATGTGGACCAATGCAAAAGGTTGGATTGACAGAAAATATGAAGACACGTTTAGGCATGTAGAACATGAAGAATACTTGGATGTCGGTGAGTGGTTTACAAGCGAATTTCTTATATATATTTTCCTGGTAACTAATTCAGTCTCATACTACAGATATGCATCAAGAAACGTGATTTTCATTATTTTTTTTTAAATACTTTGTAAAAACAGTGACATTGTATCAAAGCATTATATACATATACAAAATCAATACTTTATGTTTATTTAAAAAGCAACTCTGTACGCAGATATCTTAATTGCTATCTTGTGTGGTCGGTACAAAAATGGATTTCCTTAACAGATTACGAGCGAAGGATGGATGACTTTTAATGTCCATCAATACTTTTTAGACGTTCAACAATGTGATAATTAATATTAGGACATATCGCTATGCAAACTAGTCGCTGCAGATTCGGTTACAGTTGCACGCGTAGTTGCTGAACAAAAAAAAAAAAGCGATGAATTTTTGAATCGAAAATTCTGGGTTGACCAAAAATGAACTGAATACAGCATCATTGAACTTATTCTTAGTTTTATTATATCTGCAAACACCTCTTTAAAGTGGCAGTTGCTTCGTATATTTCATACATTGGGATATTATCATGATTTTGAATGTTAAATATACTACATGAATCCTCAACAAATGTTACCTTTCGTAGCTGTTGTTTGCGATGTCGATTCAAAAACCTACAAGGAAAAAAATAATTTTCCACCAAAACTTTGAGTTTTTTTTTAAACAATTTGCAGGGTGTAGTCCTTTAATCTATATTAATCTACAAACACTGTGGTAATGAATACATTTCATCTGTTGGTTATTTTTGTCAATCATTAAGATGAGTAAAATTATTGTACTATTGCCTTGAAAAATACTAAATGATTAATATACTTAGCTTACATTAAACAGTTTTCTAACGTTCTAGTATGATTGTTTATTTATAGAATCCATAAAATCCATAATACAGTATTTAATCCTAGGAGAATATGAAGAAAGTTAAAACATCAAGCACTTAAAAGATATTATACTTTTAAATTGTTGCATAATTTAATAATAATAATAATAATAATAATAATAATAATACATACATACATACACACCCCTAACATAAATTACCGGAAATTATCATGTGATAAATAATAACGAAAAAAATATCAATTCTTAAAATTCAAATAAAGAATTTTATTTTTTATTTATTTATTTTTTTTTTAAACTAGCTTAACCTTGCTTAACAAACTTTATTAAAGTCAATATTTACATATATTTATACACATTTTTATATATAAACTATGCTATAACATTAATTGATGAGTGTATGCTAAACTATATCAAGGTTTCCTAGATATCAGCTGTTGCTATCAATTTTTCCTAATGGATAGAGGTTGAAACTAATGTGTCAAGGCATCACTATTGTTAATGTCACTAGTATATAAATAGAAAAAATTGTTTCTTATCATTTTGTCCATGTTTTTAACCCATCTTTCTAGCAATTTCCTTCCCAGATTTTTTTTCCTATTTGCTGTTATTTCTTCTTTTTCCTTGTTTCTTTCGATTTCTGTTTGATATGATCCATGTCTCCGCTTTCTTTTGTCCACTCTGCTGATGTTGTTTATCTCTTCCCATTCTGTGATTTCTTCACATCTTTTTTTCCATAGCTCATTGATTACTTTTGTTATTCTCTCAATAATTCTTCTGCATAATTCTTTTGTTTTTTCTCTTGCAAACTGATATATATATCGGGTTATCTCTTTGGTTAGAATTCCCCTTACTATATAGTTTCTTGTGCATTCCGAGTTCGTAATTAATAACATTTTCAGTTTTGAGTCTTCTTTCTTTTTCCCTTTGTTGCAATTTCTTTGGCACCCTTTGGTTTCTTCTTTTATTATCTTTTTATATTTATCTATTATCTTGTATTGCCAGTGTTTGTGCATTAAGTGCTCTAGGCTTTTTCTTTCCTTGCATCCTGGGCATTTGTTTGATTTGTAGATATCTGGTCTTCTTTCTGCTAGCCTATCTAGTATAGGAAGTTTGCCATTTAGTAATCTGTACCTGGTTTTTCTATATATGTAATCTTCTCGGCTTGTATGCATTTTAGTTATTTTGGATTGGTGTTGTGCTTCCCAGGTAAAGTGCCAGTCTATTTGTAGCTCGTCTCTGTACTCAATCTATACTCTGTTTCTTTTTTGTGTTATCCAGTTTGCTATCCATTTGGTGTTTTGCATGTTTTTCGGAAATTTTTTAATATTCGTGTCTAGCTAATATTCTCTCCAATTTAGTGTTCCCCATGCTGCTGCTCTTGGATTGGCTGTTGTGATTGCTTTATCTCCTTTGTTCACTTCTTCTTTTGCCAATTTGTTTGTCTCTTCGTTTCTCTCTTCTTTCTGGTGTGCTTTGACTTTAATGAATATTGTTTGTCTTTGTCTTTTTTTGATGATTCTTTTAATCAGAGTTTTTGTTATCCAGTTTGCACTTTTGTAGATTTGGCTGCTTTCTTTGTCTTCTTTTTGAATCCCTTGAATAGCTGCCTGGCTGTCTGTGTATATTTTGACTTCTGCTTGTACTGGAATTGGAACTAGCATGATTAAGATTGTCATTAATTCTGCTCTTGTTGATGATGGAAAATATTCTGTATGACCTGAGTATGTAATTTTCTCTCCTGTTTCTTGATTGGTTATATGCCATTCCACTCCTATCTTGGTTCAGTTGATTGCTTCCTAGATTATTAAGTCATCTGTATATACTTTTATTCTTTTTCAGCTTTCCGTTTGTTCAGTTATTTTGGCTAGTTTCTTTTTATTTAAGCTGCTGGTTTGTATGTATTTTGTGATTTTGTCTTCTATTTCTGTTTGTTTTCTATCAATTATGATGCTAATTCTGGTTTGTGTTTTGTTTTCTGGTTTTTGTATATTGTGCATTATTGTGCCTGGTGATGTTTGTATTCTGTCCAGATATCCTAAGATCTGACTGTGGAGCTTTGCACTGTGTGCGGTTTTGGTTACTGGAATAATTATTGCCTGGTCTATTTTGATTTCCCTGATATACCCCTCTTTTGTGTTGTTTTTATGGTCACACCCTTGACACTTGTCTATAAGTGAATCTCCTCCTCTTTGTCACATATGTTGTACTTTTACTTTGTTATCTATTATTCTACATCTGCGATCTATTCTTCCAATATGTATTTGTTGGTTGATCATATATGCCAAGTATCTTTGCTTTTGGATGTTATGGCTTTTTGCTGCTTCTAGCTGAGAGATTGAATTGGGTCTTGTTAAATTCGTCAATGTAATTGTGTACCTATTTTCTAAGATATCTGGTTGGCTATATTTTTTTCTAATTTCGGTAAACCATTTTGCCATCAGTTTACATTCTGTGGCTACTCTGATTTGTCTCCAATTGAATATGCGTATTTGTTGGGCATTGGTGATCTGTTCAATAAACATTAGGTTGTGCTTCCTGATGTTTTTGATATTTTTCTTGCTTCATGTTTGCTCCATAATGTCTTTAATCGTGTACAGTCCTGTGCTGTCATGCATTTGTATTAGGCTATGGTCTTGGTTTTGTTCTATTGTGATGTCTTCCTCTTTGAGCATCTATAGGATTTGGCTTGTTAGGTATTTCTTGGATTTGTCGATCATCATTTCTGGCTGAAGTATGTTTTCTGGTATCCATGTTTGATTTTGTAAGTGTTGCAGTCTTCTTCTGGTTAGTGCTTCACACAAGTTGTTTTTATTCAGATTTGTTATCCAGTTTTTGGTATGTAATGTAAATTGTTTGTCTTTTATACAGAATAGTTTGTATCCTGTATGAATATATATGCTACTGTTTGGAGCAGTGCTCAAGACTCCAATTTTGTATTTGAAGACTTGTCTAATTTGACTGTCCAGAATGTTGATCTCTTGATTTGAGAGAAATGTGTCTTGTAGCATATATTTTATAGCTGGCATTATGATCTGATTCAAAATATATCTGCATTGTTTGTTCATGATCATGGCTCTTTTCAGAATTCATGTTGTTGTTTTTACCTTTTACCTGATCAGTTCATGCTGATGCTTTTTGCTACCTGTTGCTGTGATCCATATCCCAAGGATTCTTATGGCTTGTTTGGATTCCACTGGTTTGATTACTTGGTTTTGGAACTGAAAGTCTTTTGTGTCTTTACTATTTATTGTAAAAAGCACTGCTTTTTCTGGGTTTACTCTAAGATTAGCCAGCTTTATAAATTGTTCTGTGGTTTTGATGATCTTGTCAATATGTTCTTGGCAACTTGCTATCCAGATTGTATCATTCATATATGTTATTGACAAAATGCTATATTCTTGTTTTCTCCATATACTTGGATTGTTTGTGGGTTTTTGAACTGAAAACTTGTATCCTATATTTCCTTTTTCTACTCTGCTAATTAGTGGATTGTAGTAGATGCGCCATAGCAAAGGTGAGATTGTATCTCCTTGGTCTATACCTTGTGCTGGTTTGAAACTGTCCATAAGACCATGACATGTGATGATTCTGGTTTCTCTGTTGTTGGTTAGATTTTTTAAAATCTTGTTAATGGTTGTCAAAACTTTGATTCTTTATAAAGCCTTGCTTAAAAGCTTTGGGTTTATTGAATCGTAGGCTTTGCTAATGTCCTGGCTTAGGATCTAGCATTCCTTGTCTAGCTCTCTTGCCTTCTCCTGAAAGTCCTGCCCAGTTAAGGGGTGAAAGGATTTTGTGTTCCATTAGTATATTACTAATTCTGTTGTTGATAATTTTGATAAATGTTTTTTTGATCATTTCTAGCAGTGCGATGGGTCTTGTACAGTTTAGATCATATTGCCAGTCTGCTTTCTTGAAAATCGAATAGATGTTGATTTTGTTTCACTGTTTTGGGATTTCTGTTGATTCTAAAATTCTGTTAAAAATTAATGTGATTCACTTGATTTCTTCGCTACCAATGTGTTTTAGCATGGCATAGTTAAGCTTGGATCTTTCAGAAACAGACTCTGCTTTTGCTTTAGTAATGGTGGCTTTGACTTTGTCTATTAATATTGGTTGTATTATTGGGTTGTACCA